GGCTACTGTAACAAAATAGCATATACTGGGTGGCTTAAACAATAGAAATTTATTTTCTCACAGTCAGAAGGCTGGGAAGTCCAAGCTCAAGGTTGCAGCCAATTCCATTTCTAGTGAGGGCTTTCTTCCTGGCTTGCAGAGAGCTGCCTTCTCACTGTGTCCTTACATGGCAGAGAGAAAGCAAACTCTTTGATGACTCTTTTTAAAAATTATTTTTTATTTCCATAGGTTATTGGGGAACAGGTGGTGTTTGGTTACATGAGTAAATTATTTAGTGGTGATTTGTGAGATTTTGGTGCACCCATTACCCAAGCACTATACACTGCACCCTACTTGTAGTCTTTTATCCCCTGTCCCCTTCCCACCCTTTCCCCTGAGTCCCCAAAGTCCATTGTGTCATTCTTATGCCTTTGCATCCTCACAGCTTAGCTCCGCTTGTGAGTGAGAATATATGATGTTTGGTTTTCCATTCCTGAGCTACTCCACTTAGGATAATAGCCTCCAGTCTCATCCAGATCACTATGAATGTCATTAATTCATTCCTTTTTATAGGTGAGTAGTATTCCATCATATATATATATGACATATAATATACATATACATATATATGACATATAGTATACATATATATATATACACCCCACAGTTTCTTTATCCATTCGTTGATTGATGGCATTTGGATTTATTCCACGTTTCTGCAATTGTGAATTCTGCTGCTATATACATACATGTGCAAGTATCTTTTTCGTATAGTGACCTCTTTTCCTCTGGGTAGATACCCAGCAGTGGGACTGCTGCATCAAATGGTAGTTCTACTTTTAGTTATTTAAGGAATCTCCACACTGTTTTCCATAGTGGTTGTACTAGTGAGTTGATACATTCCCATTAGCAATGTAGAAGTGTTCCCTGTTCACTGCATCCAAGCCAACATCTACTATGTTTTGATTTTGATTATGGTTATTCTTGCAGGAGTAAGGTGGCATTGCATTGTGCTTTTGATTTGCATTTCTCTGATCATTAGTATGTTGAGCATTTTTTTCATATGTTTGTGGGCCATTTGTATATCTTCTTTTGAGAATTGTCTATTCATGTCCTTAGCCCACTTTTTGATGGGATTGTTTGTTTTTTTTCTGGTTGATTTATTTCAGTTCATTGTAGGTGCTGGATATTAGTCCTTTGTCAGATGTATAGATTGTGAAGATTTTTCTCCCACTCTGTGAGTTGTCTGTTTACTCTGCTGACTGTTCTTTTTGCCATGCAAAAGCTCTTTAGTTTAATTAAGTCCCAGAAATTTATCTATCTTTGTTTTTATTGCATTTGTTTTTGGGTTCTTGGTCATGAAATCCTTGCCTAAGCCAATGTCTAGAAGAGTTTTAATAATGTTATCTTCTAGCATTTTTATAGTTTCAGGTCTTAGATTTAAGTCCTTCATCCATCTTAAGTTGATTTTTGTATAAGGTGAGAGATGAGGATCCAGTTTCATTCTCCTACATGTGGCTAATCAATTATTGCAGCACCATTTGTTGAATAGGGCATCCTTTCCAAATAAAATACTTAGGCATATACCTTAACAACGAGGTGAAAGACCTCTACAAGGAAAACTACAAAACACTGCTGAAAGAGATCAGAGATGACACAAACAAATGGAAACATGTCCCATGCTCATGGATTGGCAGAATTAATATTGTGTAAACGACCATACTACCAAAAGCAATCTACAAATTCAGCACAATTCCCATCAAAATACCACCGTCATTCTTCATAAAATTACAAAAACAATTCTAAAATTCATATGGAACCAGAAAAAGAGCCCACATAGCCAAAGCAAGACTAAGCAAAAATAACAAATCAGGAGGCATCACATTACCTGATTTCAAACTATACTATAAGACCATAGTTACCAAAACAGCATGGTACTTGTATGAAAATAGGTTTACAGACCAACGGAACACAATAGAGAACCCAGAAATAAACCCAAATACTTATAGCCAACTGGTTTGATGATTCTTATAAAGAAACTAATCCTATTGGATCAGGACTCTACCTTTAGACCTAGTTTATTCTTAATTAAGTCCAATCTCCAAATACAGTGACATCAGGAATTAGGGCTTCAACAGCAGAATTTTCAGGGGACACAGTTCATTCTATAGCAGTATGTCCTTTCCCACATTTTTTCCTCATTCTTCTGGACCCCTCTCCAGCAAGATATCCTTTAAAAGTTGCAAGATCTTTTCAAGTCTAGACTCAGCTCAGAATTTCACTTACATACATTCTGTTGAATAAAGTGAGTCACAAGGCAGGCCCAAATTCAAGGAGAAGGGGAATAGACTTGACTTGTTGATGGGAAGAGTAGTTAACTCACACACTCCAAAAGGACACATGGAATGGGAGGGATGGCTGTAGCTGTCTTTGGAAACAGTCTGTCAATTTGTCCTTGAACACATTGTTTAACCACCTGATTTTACTTTCTTTGCCTGTAAAATAGGAAATAATACTATCAGCCACTTTGGGATGTTGTAAGTAATAGATTAAGACAGTGTGTTTAGCACCTAGTACATTGTAGTAGAAACATAACAGAAACAACAAAAACACATATGGGTTGTGCCCATACTATGTGGCAGCACTATTATAAGCACTTTAAACATATTGCTTTATGTAATCTTTGCAACAGTCCAAAGATACACATTATCTTTGAAATAAGATGAGAAACCCTAGGCACAAAAATGTTAACTTGTACAAGTTGGTTGCATTGTAACTAGTCTGTCTAAATCTTGAATGTCTTACTATCTGCTTTATCCAAAGGACACTTTTTAGTTTTTTTCTCCTTAAACTATATTTGAGAGTTTACAGTTGATGTTGTTGATCACTCCTCTACCAAACACTCCTCCTCCCATGACCACTATGACTCCCCTCTGTACAATCTTTCCTCCTTCTGTGATTGCTACCTTCCAAACTGCTCTTTTATTTCTTCAACTCTTCTTTCTTGAAGGAACCATCCCATGTGGCAACTCAATTTCTACCTTTCCGATGATGACTGCCAGTCTTCCCTCTCTCCTAAACTCTAGGCTTGCATTTCTAAGTGTTATTAGGGTGTGAATATATATGACCCATGTAACGTTTTGAAACATTTGTGCATTTCGCTTCTTTCTTATTCCATTGGTTACAATCTTGTCACTTAATACTTGAAATGTTTTTCAAATGTGGATGTTTCTAGCAATCAGCTAATGCCTTTGGCCTGGTTTAAGCCTTCATCATTTCTTGCTTGGTTTATGAAAGTCATTTTTTAACTGAACTTGTTGCTTTCAGTTCCTCACTGACATATGGCATTAGTGTAATATTTTTACGTGCTTCAACACACATACCTTCTCACCATTACTATACGGCTCCCCCACCCCCACCCCCAGCATCCCACTATCTCTGGTGTCACCTTCTCTGTTCATGGGCACACCCGCCAGATGCGCAGAACTGAGTCCCTGCTTGGAACTTGGAAAGAGCTGCCTGGGTTTGAACCATGGGCCTATGGGTGTCAGATGCCCAAATGCAGGGTTTCTCCTTCTCTAGGGGTTCCCCCCTTTGAAGAAACAGCATCTGCTCAACCTCCCCTACAGTAGGCTCCCTTAAAGCTGGTTTCTCCTTCCTCTGCTTGTCTCTTTGCAACTCTCTGGAGGCATCTTCACCTTTACAGCTTTGCATTTTCTCTGCTATTCCCATATAAGTTCCCTGAAGCCCTAGTACCATTCACAGCAGGATTTCAAAGCTTGCCTGTTGCCTGAGCATTCTATGGGGTCCCAAATTACCTTTCTGTGCAATATGAATTGTGAAATGCCCGTAGAGACAGCACAACCTCATGGCTAAGAATGATAGTTACCAGTTCTAGAGATCCTACTGTAATTGTTCTAGAGTGGGGGCCTGAACACCAGTATTATAAAAAAGACAAAAGAAAAAGAAGGAAAAAAGTAGAAAGAAAGAAAGAAAGAAAGAAAAAGAAAGAAAGAAAGAAAGAGAAAGAAAGAAAATCAAAACTACCTTCATCATGTGTGAATTTGAGCAAGTAACACCTTTGTGAGTCCCCCGCCCCCAGTTTTTCATTGGTAAAATGAGGATAACAGTTACACAGACCTCGTTGAACTATGTACAGAATTAAATGAGATTATGCACCTAAAAGGCTTGTGGCACAGCGATACGCACACACACACACAGTACTTCGTGATTATTTCTAGGCTTTATTGCTTGAAAAGCTGAAAAGATGGGTGGATGAAAGGTGCCCTGAGGTTCCTTCCAACTCTCCAAGATTCTGTGATACTCCTCCTTGGGTGCTGAAGTCACGTTGACAATGTTTGGATTTCCAAACGGTTGCTTAGAAAACTAATCGAGACCTAAGACGCCCAGGTAAGCCTCAGAGTCTTTCCCGGGAGTCGTTTATTTATTTGATCTTAGTTCTGACCTAGAGCCTCCACCTTCTCCAAATCACCACGGTGGTCGAAAAGGGCCTGTGCTTGGGAAATCCTTCCTTTGTTGGCGAATCTTGGACCCAAACCCTGCATTTGGGCATCTGACACCCATAGGCCCATGGTTCAAACCCAGACAGCTCTTTCCAAGTTCCAAACAGGGACTCAGTTCTGCGCATCTGGCGGGTGTGCCCAGATTGCAATCTTCGCACCAGGCATCCAAGAACGTGCTTCGGACACACGCAGGGTGGTGGAAACGGGTTCTTGGTTTGCATCAGGGCTGAGGGGTGGAGTAGCTCCAGCGCCCGGAGCGCGCACATGCTCACACTCCCCAAGCCAGGGCGCGGCCGCTCTGGGCGCGAGGTCCCAAACCAAGTCTCCCGCTTGGCCAGGAGCCGGGGCGTACCCTAGGTCCCCGTCTGGGGCCGCCGCGAGTCTACCCTGCGGCGCGCACTCCTGACCCGGCCCCGCCCCGCGGTGGCCGCGAGTAGCGGGCGGAGCGCAAGCAGAGAGGCGCTCTGGGCTGTGCGGCGCCGCCTCTCCTCGGTGTTGGGGGAGGGACAGAGGGACCCGGCGGGAGACAGAGAAAACCTGACCGACCGGCTGGCGAAGAGCTGCATGCAACCGGTGGGAGGCCGGGCCGGCTGGGTCTGAGGCTCGGGATCGGGCTCGGACCGTTTCCCGGCGGGTCCCTGGCGGTGAGCGCGGACGGCCCGGAAGCGGCGGCTCCGAGCTGGCAGGCGGAGGGCTGTCTCCTGCGCCCGCCTGCCCGGCGCGGTCCGAGGATGCGGGGGGGCGATGCCCGGGGCCAGGGACGCGCTCTGTCACCAGGCGCTGCAGCTGCTGGCCGAGCTCTGTGCCCGTGGGGCCCTGGAGCACGACAGCTGCCAGGATTTCATCTACCACCTGCGGGACCGTGCCAGACCCCGGCTCCGCGACCCAGGTGAGTGCCGCCACCGCCGCCTGGAGGGACCCAAGGGCCTTGGGCTGGGACTTGGGGCCGCACCGGGGCCTGAGGCAGAAGAGCGACGCGGACTGGGAGAGGGCAGGGGGCGGCCACCGAGCCAGGAGAGGGATCAAGAACCATCGCACTGTGGCCTGATGCTGTAGCCAGGCGGGGACTCGGGCGGTGGCTACTGCACGGAGGCCGAGTCCGGATCGGCTGGGGCAGGGTTGGAGGGACCACGCCCGCCACCTGCGCTCCCATCGCCAGGGCTCCTGGGGGCGGCTCCCTAGCTCCGAGCTACGCTCTCCACTTCCTGGGCTATCTGCATTCAGAGCGAGGTGAGGCCAAGGCGGCCTCGGAGGCGTGGGAAGGGGGACGAGGCCGAAGGAAACTCTGGGAAGTTGGGAGTTGGGGACGGCCTCGGGCTGGGGCCGAATCCCACTGGGTGCTGCTCATCGTTTCTCCTGAGCGTCTAGTTCCTTTCCTTGGTCTGGGGTGAGAAGGGCGGGATGCGATCCGGCGTTGGGCCGGGGACAGGGAGCTTTTCGTCTTGGGCAGACGGGCCTGAACCCATTCCCGGCAGGTCGCACGGCGTGGAGGTGGCCTGGGCCTGGGCGCTGGGCTCGACCAGCGACTACCGCCGGCCACACTGGGGTCCGTAGGCTCGTCGGTCCTGGCTTGTGCACCTGTAGTTATTCCTAGTGAAAGTTGCAAAGCTCTTAACTTTGGAAAGTTCATTTATTTTGGCATTTGACCAATTAAGGTTGGAGGAGGGAGTTTTAGCGGAGCCATTTGCTTTTCCCGAGGTCCCTGTGTCTCCCAGGTCGTCTCATCCACTACTGGCTAGTGGAAAATGCATTCCTTCCAATATTTGCTTGAGATGTTTCTCACCTGGTGAAAGAGTTTTCTCGAATATTCTCCCAACCTAAGTACTTACCAGAAAAGCATAGTGTGGTTAGATTGTTAAAAATGGGATGAGAAAATGGCCTTTCTCTTGATATTGCTAAGTATAAATATTGGAAAAGAGCTATTGCCTTGCAAAGTATCATGGACGAGCTGAAACCAATTTATTATATAAAAATCCATTTATCCAAAAGATAAATTAAAGAATTATTTGATTTATAACGAGTGTCAACACTGAGCCAGACTTAAATAGTATCTCCTTGATATATTCAAGATGGGTGTGTGGGGTGAAGTCATCTGCTAAAATTTAAAAGTTTATATCAGATTTTCCCTACTGGAGGCTTTTTTTCTATTGAAAAAGAAAAAATACTGTTTTCCATTGCCAATGGTTATATTAACTAAGTTAATCGAAGATGTCCTAAGTTGGGGAAGTTCGTCCTTAAGCAGCAGAAGCAAGACAATTATTTTACATGCTTTGCCCAAAGCAAGTGTTAGTATTGAAATATCTCACTTCCTTGCCTATGACCAGACCACGAGTTTTCCTTGTTATCCCACATATGCAGTTGTCTTTGGCTTTACAAGAGAAGATGGATGAGGCCTATCTTTGAATCACATATTTTTGGCCAGTTTTCTGTCTCTGCTCCTTTTAATCCAGGGGCTGGATCCTGTGTTTTCAGGTTCTCTTCAGCCCCTACACCAGGCAACCCCTGAGAAAGATTCACTAAGAGGACTTCTTACAAGAGTAAATCTGATTCCTTGGCTGAGGAATAGCTATAGATAGGAGTCGACCTTGCTGCTCTGAGTTCCTGATATTAGTGCTCTCCTTTCTTAAACTAGGACACAGGGTTTTGAAGTAGCCCCATGCCCCTCTGGCTCTTTGGTTTGTGTTGGAAAGTAGCCAGCTCATGAGGGAAGGGGTGGGGGTGGGGGGTTCAAATGCGAGGTGAGAGGAAACGAGGCCAAAGATTACATCCTAAGTGCACCCTCTCCTTCAGGACGCTTTTCCCTTCATTTCCAAATCTCCCTTCATTTCCCTCCTTCCTTGCCTTGTCGACATTAATTCTTACATCAGATGCATTTGTCTTCATCCCTCTGAAGCAAGAGTGACTTTAATCTCTGAACCCTAAAAGCTGAGTAGCTAGAAAAGCTGCACCACACAACACCATGTGCATAATGTCCCTGCTATGATAGTGTGAACCAGAACAACCATGCACAGCAGCCCTGAGACATGGGTTTCTAGAGAGAGTCATCTCTGTAAATGGATGATTTCTTTTTCTGTAAAGGAATCCACCTGAAGGCCATGTCCTAGCTTTCTCTGTTATTGTCCATTCACGGCCACCCAGTGATAGCTAGGTTTCCTCAAGCTCAACTAAGGACTTTGGTTATAAAAGGAGAAAAAAGATATAATTTCCTGTGGAGAGCAAAGTGACCCTGCATCTAGGAAATTTACTCATTTTTTCAGAGGTGTGGAAAGACTAGGGCACAGACCAGTGGGCCTGAGCCATCAGAAAGGTTATTTTTTGTCCAGGTAGTTATAGTGCCCTGTTGGGGGAGTACAGCACCCAGATTTCCCTGACTTGGTGTTCACAGAGGACTTGATGCAATTGTAATTTTAAAAAATAAGCCTAAGTTACAATTGGAACTGAAGTGCCTCACACAGTCTGTCATCTGTACCAACTTGTGGAAAGTAAAGTGCTGAGTGTGAGCCCTTTCGTCCATAGAAAGCAATTAGAATGTGCTGTTGGTTGCTTTTATAGTGTTTTATATGTTACTGATGTGGGACATAAACTTGCAGGCCTCAGAGACTAGCCTTTAAGGCAGAGGGAAGAGCAAGTGCAAACGCCCTGAGGTGGGAGCATTATTGATGTGATTCTAGAAATGGTGATTTCAGAGGTGGCTGGAGAGGCGTGAAAGACATGGAGAGTGGTAAGACATATGGTCAAGAGTTAGAGAGGGTGGATCATGCAGAGTCTTGTAAACCATTATAAAGACTTTGGTTTTTACTCTGAATGAGATACGAAGCCATTAGAAGGTACTGAGTGGAGAAGTGACAACACTTTGACTGCTATGTTGAAGAGCAAAGGTGAAGTCAGAGAAACCTCTTAGGAAGTTATTTCAGAAATCCAGACAGAGGTGACAGTGACTTCAACAGCGATAGTGGCAATGGAGTTGATGAGAAGTAATTGGATTATGAACATAATTTGCAGGTACAGCCACAAGTATTTATTGAAGGAAGAGATGTGAAAGGTGAGAGAAGGGCAACTAAGGAAGCTTCAAAGGGTTTTTGACCTAAAAATTCCATGTACAAGTAGAAGTCTTCAGGAAGAAGGTAGGGGTGAGGAGGGAAATCATGAGGTTTATTTTTTATTTTATTTTAACTTTTTGTAACACATTAAGTGTGTGATGCCTCTTTAGATAGCCAGGCTGTTTTACAGTTAAGTGACCTGAGGTATGACTATCCCCTTTAATGTCAATTGCTCTATGCTTGTATTTTGTAACTGGAGACTTCGCTGTCAAGAAGATTAATTGGTTGTAGAACAGCATGTATTGTTAGAAGGTTTTCCTTGTAGGGAATTAAAAGGTATCTTAAATTTCTACCCATGGATCTTGATTATACTTTTTTTGGTCAAAAAGCATTAGTCTTATCCCTCTTCTCCATCATACACCTTTAGCTACTAGGAGGTAACCTAGCCTAACTTCTCTAGATCCACTCTTTTCAAGGAACAGAAAGGAGGATTGGATCATGTAATGTCTAGGTCTTAAACATGTTTTTATCATTTTCTTTTTAAGTCTTTTCTTCTGTAGGGTGCCAACCACATTTGTGCCAAGCACTTTATGTAGGTCATTTCACTAGTCCTCATAAGTCTTCTAAGCACTCATCTGTGTTCCAGCAGCAGTAGCAGCTTCTGGGAGCTTGTTAGAATCGGAGAATCTCAGTTATGTCCCAGACCCACTGAATATGAATCTGTGTATTAACAGGATCTTCAGGTGAGAGTTGTAGACACATTAAAGTTCAAGAACCATGGCTAAAAGTGATTGATATATATGAGTAAACTGAAGTGCGGAGAAGTAAACTAGCCCAGGGCCATGGAGTCCATTTAAAAGAAGAATTGGGTGTAAGTTAAAGTAGCTTCTTAGGTACTCACATCACATATACTGAAAACTGAGGAGTTATTGTCAATGAACATTTTCTAGGTATCTTTCATAAGAGCCACCCTTAGACCTACTTTCTCTCTTCTGTACTTGTATGATGGATTTAATCCCCAAGTGTAGGTCACATTCTATGTAGTTATAAAGATTCAGCTTAGTATTTTTGATTATGAATTCTGTTATCCAGGATACTGGTTTTCCATTCATGTTCCAACTCCATATTCTGGAGATTTTTTGTGCATGTTCTCTGTGTTTGTACCCAAGCTCTAGAAAAGGTTCAGCAGGTCAGAGTGTGAAGCAGAGCCTTAAGACTCGTGATTAGTGACTCTTCTCTCCACATAAATATTACTCTATTCAAGAAAAGCTTTTTCTAGATCACTGGTTTTCAACTTTGGCTGTACATTAGGAATACTTAGGGAGCTGGAACAAACAAACAGAAAAAACAAACAACAACAAAAAAAACTACCAATGATTGGGCTGCACCCTAGATCAGTTTTAAATCACAGTCTCTGGGAAATGGGCCTGGTATCAGTATTTTTAAAATTCATCTATTGATTCTCATGTGCAGCCAAGTAGAGAACAACCTTTGAGACCATTGGGCAAAGAATGCATCCACCTAACCCTTCTCAGTTCAGTTCACATTTGTTTCTTGCAAAGTTAGGAAAGATAGTATCAAATACCAGGAACCTTCACTGTTACCCTGTACAGCTAGCACCCATATCAACTGATTCTTAAATTTCTTTTCACAACATTATCCCAAATTTTTATTTTGAGGGCTCGTTGAACATGTCATAAGGCTCTATTATGTCCATCCAATCTGAGAGGGGAAAAAACAAACCAATCAAGAAAAATCTTGTCTAAATAGAGTGTCATTAAAAGGTCAGAATATAGAACCTTCACGAATGTCACCTTATGTTAAATTATAGTCAAGTCACTTATTAGAA